GGGCAGCCACCAAGGCTGCCGCTCCTCCCCCGTCTTCCTCTGGCCTGGCCAGGTCACCGCCCCTTCCAGCTCCCACACAGAAGCCAAGCACTTCTGCAGTGTCGATCTCCTAGGGCCACTTCCTGCTCAAAATCTTTGTGTGGCTTTTTAGAACACTACGAACCAAATCCCTCACACCTTGGTGTGGTCCTCACGGTCCTTTGCTGCCCCCTTCCAGTCACCTGACCCAGCCGAGCTTCACCTTGTCCTGCGTGTCTTTCCCGCTCTGAGCTCCGAGGCAGACTGCGACCGCAACTTCCCCAACCTGGACCCTCTCTGCTCTTTCTCCTAATTATTTCTCAGCCTCCAAGGCTCCAGTGAGGCCTGGGTTGATTCCCCTCCGTCAACAGGAATCAGCTTCGATGCACACTGACGTTCTGGCTCTTGGGGCTGTCTGGTTGTACCCTTGGTGACAAGGGTGTGCCTGTCTCCCTGCTGGTCCAACCTCAGGGGCTCTGTCTTAGCCGGTGGCAAGTGTCTCCCCTCAGAAGCCATTCAGCACATATTGCAGTAGTTGCAAAGTCTTTGAAATGTTTACTAACACAGAGAAAACCTATGATCATATGCCCCAAACAGCCCAGGATTCAAAAACCAAGAAATTCACCAAAGTTGACAAAAAGTTCTTGGAGTTAAATTGTCCTGTCTTTTTTTTTCTTTTTTTTTAAGACAAACCCCAGGTTTGATGCTGAAGAGGACAGTAGAAAACAGAAACAAACTGTGGTTATTTTAGCCCAAACCTCCGTGGGTACTAACTTAAGTGAGAAGTACCGGCTCCTGGGAGGAGCCCTCCTGGGTCCAGGCACCAGGAAATGAAGGGTTGAGGTGTGAGCTGCTCCAGCCCCAGAGCAGACATGTCTGCTGGGCCTTGTTGAGTGTTGCCACGGGGGCCCTGAGGGCTCATCACGTGTGCTGATCACCGTGGGCACCGTGACAGCTGTTTCCCACAAGGGTCTTTACTGGACATGAGGCTGTCGTGTGCTTCCTGCTTGCTGGGCCACACCATCCCAAGCCCCCGGTGTGCTTACGGATGGGATCTCTCCTCCAGCCTCCAACGGGGGTGTTGGAGGTGTTCTCTCTTGACCGTTGGGGAAACTGAAGCAAGGGAGGTTGAGTAACTCCACTTGCCTGATGTCACAAGCATAAAACCTAGAACTGACAGCCTTTCTAATGTCATGCTCTCAAAAGAGGTCGTCAGAGACAAGAAAACAAGACCCCTCCATGATGCAGAGTACCACCTCCCCATGGAAATACCACGACGAGGCTGCCTTCTCCACACTCGTTCTCCTTGAATAACCTTGATCATTTCCCTCTTTTAATGGCCTTAGCCTATCTTGCTTCAAATACAGATTGAATCTCATTCTAGGATAAAGGGTCAGTTGGTGACACAGTCAAATCCTGGAGCACTGGGAGAAGTCAAAGAGTCGGGGCTCTGTCCTGCCCAGGTGTTCAGATCTCCGCTGCCCAGGAAGACTGACCTAGACTCTCTCCCTCCCTTGGTTTCAAAGGTGCCCCAGTGCAGTGGTGAGGATCACCAGTACACTCAGCACGAGCCTCACCACCACACTGGCTGGGGACACGGTGCCTCCCCAGCGACACGGGTATCTATCCACTAAACTGCACGCCTCTGAGTGGGAGATCGACGGAGCTAGACAGGCGGGCCTCTCTAAGCCAGGGTCAGCTGTGCAGGAGGGAGGAAGGAGCAGGTGACAGGGGCCAAGGCTCAGCTCCGGCTGAGCGCTGGGCGGCTCCCTGCAGTACAGGCCAGACCACACCGCCCGCGGCCTCACGGTTCCTCTTCCAGGGACAGGCAGATTGGTTTTCTTTTTGCTTTTCTCAGTCAACAGAAAATCAATATCCCATGATTGTCATTGTTGCCATCTTTTTTTTTTTAAGGGGGGGCTGTGTATTGGGGATTGAATTCCAAAGCACTCGAACACTGAGCCATGTTCCAGCCCTGTTTTGTATTTTATTTAGAGACAGGGTCTCGCTGAGTTGCTTAGCGCCTCACAGTGGCTGAGGCTGGCTTTGAACTTGCAATCCTCCTGCCTCAGCCTCCTGACCTACTGGGATTGTAGGCATGTGTTGTCACCATCTTTAAAGCCCATTAATGAAAAAGTAGGTCCAGGTCGAGCATCCCTAACCTAAAAATCCAAAATGCTCCAAATCCAAAACTTTTGGAATGATGACTTGATGCCATAGCCGGAAAATCCCACGCTTGGCCCCTTGGGATGTGTCGCAGCCAAAACGCAGACAGACTGAAAACACGGAGTAGAATGATCTTTAGGCTATGTTCACAGGTGAATCGGAAACAAATAGACTTTGTATTTAGACTTGGGTCCCATCCCCAAGACATCTCATTTAATATATGCAAATATTCCAAACCCTGCAAAAAAAAATAAAGAAAAGAAAAGAAAAAGAAAGAAAGAAAAAGAAATCCAAAGCCTCAGACACTTCTGGTCCCAAGCCTTTTGGAGAAGGGATACTCAACATGTATCTGACTAGGTGCTTCATTTCGGCCATCAAGGGCAGGGTTGCTAGCCAGCAGCTGGCCCAGCCCCTACCCATCCCAGAATCTTCTAGGCCTTCCTGTACAGCTCCTGCCCCGATCTCTCCTGCTGCTTCTCTGGCCCCTCCCCAAGCATGACTTTTCCAAAGAGTTGCCCCTACCATTCACACATGCACGGGAGGATTCCTCTGCTCGTCCGATGAGGTCTGGCCGGGCCATGTGACCTGTTCTGGTGGAAAAGCTATTCTAGGAAGTGGTGCCTGTCCTCTGTGGGCTTCCAGAGCCATCCTGGGATGCTGTCTTCTGCCCCTCCCACTGCCCCGATGGGTGTTGCACCAGTGAGGAAATGTGCCTGAAAGACCCAGCAGCCACCCCAGTGAGGGACAGCACAAGAACATACATGTCAGCACAGTTGGACGGGATGCTACTTTATGCAAGGCCATGGGGTTTAGGGCCATCTGTCAGTCACCACAGCAACACTGGCCCAAGCCTACTGGCTCCGGGTTTTTCAAAGACACTCTTCACAAGACACTAGGGGACACTCTGAGCCCACAGAAGCACAGAAGTGGCCAAAACAGATGTTCCAAGAAAACAGAGTATTTTGATCACAGAGGTTGCTGGCCACTCACTTTCGGGGCAGCCCCTGTCTCCTCCCCTCGCCTCTGCTCTGGGTGGGGAACCCCAACACCAGCGCCAGTTCTAGGCCTGGGTCTTTCCCTCGCCCACTTCCTCCTCTGCCACCACAGCCACAGCGTCTAGAGTTCAAGGCGTTCTGCACAGGCTCGCTCCTCCCAGGACCCTGTGGGGGGCCCCGTCGGCATCCCGGTGTCACAGCAAGGACACTGGGGCCTGGAGAGGAGGAGGCAGAGCTGGGATTCAATCAGGCTGTGTGGCTTCGATGGCCCAGGCTACAGCCCAGGGCTCAGGAGGGCAGCGGGAGGAGGGAGCAGAGGGGGGACATGAACCAACAAAGCAAAGGACACCCCCGGTGCTGTTCTTGTGCCCTCGTCGGGTTTGCCCTGGTGGCCAGCCTGGGAAGATGCCGTGCAGGGACAGAGCGGAAAACAACACACGCCAGGTCCTGGACACCCGTGTGTGGGGGTGAACACCCAGGAGAAGGACGGGGAGAGTCAGGCTGCCTGGGGGGCTTCTGGCGCTGTCTTCCCAGAAAAGTTGTGCACTGCATTTTTAAAAGTTTTAAAATGAAAAATGAGATTCTACTGCAAGCCCTGGGAGACAGACAGAAACCAAGGAGGTTGGGTCTTACCTTATGGGAAGTAAGCTCTTCCCATCCCGAATGCCCTGGTTTGTCTCTGGGGTGACACGCAAAACTTCTTTACTCCACCAAACTTGAATGGGGCTCCTGGACCTTCTCTAGGCCCATCTGTGTACTTCCTTGGAAAATCCAGTTTTAGCCAGAACTCTGCTAGGTCAACTGAGCCAGCGCCTCCGCCCCCACTCACCAATAACCCTCAATATCTGAGCAGGCTCCTCACCCTTCACCATTCCTCGGGCGACAGCTTGAAGAATGGAGACTCCTGGTAGGTCAGGTTAGCCAGAATCAATCTTTGCCCTTCCTGACTTTGCATCCACTGACCCCTACCCTGTTCCTTGGTTATAAATGCCCACTTGCCCATGCTGAACTCAGAATTGGGCCAGTCCACTACTGAGGTCTCTTCTCCTCTGTTGCCATGGTTCTCAACAAAAGCTGTCACCACCCCTGTAACAGCCCAGCTCTGATTCTCCTTGGACAGGTTCCTCACTGAAAGTGAGACACTGAATCAGATCTGACGTCCTGGTTTCCAGGGAGCTTACTGCATCTGGGTTGGACAGACCCGGACCTGGACTGCTGGGTGGGCAGAGACGAGCAGAACTCCAGCCAGGCTGCGGGTCCAGCTCGATTCCCCTGGAGAGAGGCCTTCTGTCCCCTGCTCTTGAACAACTCTCTCTCACCAGGCTCCTGGAGTACAGCACCACGCCCCACTCTCAGCCACCTTTCCAATGTTGCTGCTGAAGTTCAAGGCCCCGGAGGTTCTTGGGTTCCAAAAGGACGGTAGGTACCTAACATTTGGAAGCCTCGTCCCAGAAAGCCTGGTTTCTCTCAGTAAGAGAGTGACTCCACCCTTCTGCAGTCACGGGGGGCTGTGTGTATACTTAGTCAGGAAAGACCATAACACCCCACACTTTCCCCCCTCCTGGACTCCACAGGAGGGACCGTCATTTAGGTCATCTACATAAATGAACTGCCTTTTCCCCAGCCCCACACTCCTATTCCCTGACCCAGGGAGCAGGATTCCAGCACTTTATCCAGGGTTCTTTTTCCTGGGTACCCCATGGTTGGACTACATTTTGGGATTCACGGTTGGACTACATTTCCCAAGCTCCTTTGCAGTTAGGTATAGTCATATGACTAAATTCTAGCCAATGAAATGCAGTCACAGGGCCTTGGTTGTAAGACCCTCCCACAAGCTTTTTCCCTTTCTAGCCTGACGGGGACCCTGGACCCAACCCTGAGAAACTTCAGCTGTCTGCCAAAGGTGACAGAGCCACTCAGCTAGGGTCCCTGAACGACAAGCACTCTTGCGTGTGTGACGGAAATGGGATCCCTCCAGGTCCACTTGTGACTCCACCTGACAGTCACCCTGTGCCCTTACTGCTTACTGTCTTCTCCCTCCATGTGAACCACATGCCGAGAGGTAAGGAGTTCTTATTTCTGCTGTGTCCCCAGCAGGGAGCAGCGCCTCACCCCCATAACCAGGTGTCAAACGCGCTGAATGAGATGTGCCTTACCCATGCTGCGTGGCCTGGGTCTCTGTGGAAAGACCCTCCCCAACAGGAAAAGCGACCCACTTCTTTTGCTTTCTAGAAAATTAGACTTTAATTGAACTAATAAACCTTTGGGACCCAGCCCGAATCCTCCCTTGTCTTGGACACTGTAAAATTAATGTTTTCTCTTCTATCAAAGTTAAACCTGTAATGTAACACACAAACATGTTTACTGTAACTTAAATTTTACAATGTATAATGGAACCATTTAAATTAGGAAACCTTGTGGAGAAGAATGTAGCCTTTTTTGTTTTTTTTGTATCAGAGATTGAACCCAGGGATGCTTAAACACTGAGCCATGTCCCCAGGCCTCTTTTGTATTTTATTTAGGAGACAGGGTCTCACTAAGTTGGTCAGGGCCTCGCTAAGCTGCTGAGGCTGGCTTTGAACTCAGGATCCTCCTGCCTCAGCCTCCTGAGCCACTGGGATTACAAGTGTGTGCCACCGTGTCCTGAGGAATGAAGTCATTTTGAAATTCCCTAACAGGTACCTAATCACCACTGTAGTCTGTTTCCTGTGCCCTCCTCAATTTTAATTAGCTAATCACATATATTGTAACCATGAACTCCTCCTATTGGAGCAAGGGGCAGTACTACACTAGGGACAAAAGCAGGTGGCCAGTCTGCACAGGTGTGCTCACTGGCCGGATTGGCTCTGGGGGCACCTTTCTGCAGAAGTACAGCCTTGCCTTGCCGACCTATTCCAAGCATGCCTTTGATTTCTTGACGCACCTCAGTCCTTCTAGCAGACACCCTCTCTGAGTCCTCCCCCAGTGATCTGCCCCTGCCACGGCCCTCCCAGGGGCCCCTTTGCAGTACCACCTGCCTCACCACACAGCAGGTGAGGGCTGTCCCTCCCACCCTGGGAAGTCCCCCCCTCAACCTAACCTGGGACCCCTGGGCTGGGACTCCCTCTTATTCCTCTTTGCATTTCTTTCTGTCCGTACAAATGTTTCTTGAGAAACAAGCGCTCGAGAATATTCAAGGGCCCTTCTTTGCAGTCAGTGGCTGATGAAGGGTAAAAAGGTCCCATTTCTGAGATGATGTAAACCAAACCAGAGCCTGGAATATTCCACGGGTTCTTTTTTTAAAAATATTTTTATTAGTTGTTGATGGGATTATTTATTATTTATTTATATGTGGTGCTGAGAAACGAGCCCAGTGCCTTACTTATACATGCTAGGCAAGTGCTCTACCACTGAGCCACCATCCCAGCCTCCACGGGTTCTTTTAATAAACATTTTTTGGAGTTTAATGCCTGGAGTGTGCGCACGTGACCCATAGATGAGGGGCAAGCCCTTTCAGGTAACTGAGCCAGAGGTCAAGAGGGGTCCAAAATGTTTTCTATCAGTACAAACCTACCCTGAACTGGACCCCCAACCAGCTCTCTGAGGAGGCCCACGCCTGCTTTGGGTTTTTGACTTTCAAAGGGCTTGCCCACTTGACCCTCGGGAAGTTCTGTGATCCAAGCAGGAAAGGATTCTTATGTCCATTTAATAGAAGAGACCTCAGAGGCTTGGAGAGGTTAAAGAGCTGGTCCCAGAACATGGCTTGAGGGCATGTCCAGCTGATTCTGAGGGCCCAGGCAGTTTCTTTCCCGCCTTCCCCCCAGCCCCAGCATCCTGTGCTAAGTGAACCAGGGAGGCTTCTCTGTGGCCACGAGGAGCAAAGCCAACAGCCCCGATGAGGGTGACTGGAAACTACCATTGACTTGTGTGTGACAAGCTGAGTTCAGAGCCAGCCTGGCCAGGTAACATCAGCAGGCTGACAGTTTGTCCCCTTCTAATTTTAGACCCTGTGGGCGCAGACAGGAGAGCTGTGGTTAGCAGGTGCCACGTCTGCTGCTGCTGCTGCAGCCCCGCGAGGTCCCAGGAGAGCAAGGAGCCGGGTACTCACGCGACTTTTCTTCTTTGATGGTGTACTCGAGCACCTCAGAGGAGCCGTCGCTCGGGGAAGGGAAGTGCACACAGAGCACCAGGCGCTTCAAGCTGCTGTCCCTGCGGACCAGGAACATCTGGAACCAAGAAGAGGCAGCTCCATGAACCACAGTTGGGGGAGGCCAGAAGGACATCAGGGAGCTGCTGTCATCCGCAGGTTCCCAGGGCAGGAGGCAGGTGAGGCGGTCAGTCACCCCTCCCAGGATCTGGGCTCTGGCCCACGTCCCCATGGAGTCTCCTTAGTCCCAGTTTCTCATTTGCCCACCAAGCGGATGTTCCTTCAGGGTGTGAGAGACTCGGTCTCGGGGTCCAGGGGTTGAAACCCTGAACCCTGCCATGCAGCTCTGCAAGGGGGGCCGTGGCCACTCTGATGTGCCCTGTAGCACGGGAGTCAGGGTGAATGTCCACCCCCACCCCCAGCCCGCAGATCTGGAGGCGTGGGCTTGGGGGACAGTCAAGGCATCATCCATTCACACTTTCTCTTTTTCTATGCCCAAACAAAGACAGCTGGTATTTACGAGGAACTCTCGTGGTGACAGGAATTGGCACTACACTTGGCATAGAGTAACAGATTCTATCTTCTCAACTGGTTCCATGGTGACACTCTCCTTATTGTCCCCCCTTTACAGGTGAAGAGACACGGCTGTCCCTGCTCACCCAGGACCTGCTCCCTCAGGCTGGGTGACAGCTGACTGAGCCACAGGACGCGCAGGAAGCTTAGCCTGCCAAGGACTCCCAGCTGTGGGCACAGAACTGGCATCCAGCCCCGACACAGGCACTGGTGCCCAGGACCCTCTGACATGGGCTTCTCCATGCAGACCCCAGGACCGGCAGACCTGACTCTGTCTTGCCACGGAGTCTCTCCCCTGGACCGGAACCTGCCTGTGCTTTGACCCGGGGGTGGAACTGTGAGCTGAGGCCTGAACATAGCCGGTGGATTTGTTGACATCTCTGGCTCAGGCCATGGTTCCACTCCAGGGGGGGTCCCCACGGGCAGTGGTCTCCGTGGGGCGATCAAGGGGAGAGGCCTCTCTGCTGTCTGTCACAAACTGCTGCCTTACAATGTCCATTTCAGACTCAGCTGGCCCTGCCCAAGCTCATACCTCCTTCCCAGGTGACACCTTTGGGAACCACCCTGACTCCTGGGGCACAGCCTCCAGGGAAGGAGAGGGCCCCCTCCCCCCTCCCCTGCCCTGGAGTCTAAGTCTCCTGCACTCGGGCCCCAGGACCCCAGCCAGGACTATGGCCCACCTTGCTGAGTCAGGCTGGGTGTAAGGCCATGGGACACCCCAGAGGGCAAGCACATGGCCTCAAGCCTGGGAGGCTCTGGAGGAGCACTTCCCGCGAGGCTCCAGGTCCTCTGCCGTCGGTACTGGTTACTGATCTTCTTACTATATTGCTAGCATTATAACCGCTACTGCAATTATTAATAAAACATAGTAATAATATTACTACTATTGATTCGTAGCAGCTGATGTGTGTGCCTCCCTACTCTCCCCAAGCCCAGTCTCACTAATTTCTTATTAAATCTATGGGGAAGGCCATGTCCCCATTCACAGGTGAGGAAATTGAGGGCAGCGAGAGGCAGGTAATGTTCAAGGTCACAGGGCAGGAGGTGCTGAGGATGAGCCCAGGCCCTTTGGACTCTAAAGTAGACACTCGATGTCCCCCAGCCTCACCATCGCTCAAGGCTTGCTGTCTAAGAGTGTGCAAGGCCCTTCCTGAGAGGTGACATGGTGAATCTGTCAGTCACTGAACTGCGGTGGGAAGAGGCTCCACAGCCCCTTCCATAAGCAGAGCAGGAGGAGAGACGGGCCCAGGGCGGAGGGAGGCGAGAGGGTTGCTCCTGGGGGCTGCCAGGTGGAAGGGGGCCTGGCAGAGGCTGGGCTCAGTCCTAGGTGCCTCAGTGGCCCTTGCTCTCTGCTCAGGGGCAATGCTGGGGCTCCCACCACGGCACCCTGAGTGTTCCCCTGCTGACCCGGGACTCGTCTTTCAAGAAGAGATGGCTGTGCCTCTTCCTCAGAGGTTCAAGCTGCCTCTCGCCCCCAGGCCCAGGGAACCTGAGTGTGCAAGGCAGCGGGAGTGTGAATGAGCGTGTGGGTGAGCAGGCTGCACAAGAGAACACGTCATGGTTCCTGAGTCCTGGCACAGAGCTCTGAAGACCCTGGAATTTCTTGATAGGGGAGTCCATCACGCCTAAGGAGCCCTCTGTTCACACCTGACATTGAGCCCACAGGTGACTCCAGAGGTCTTGGTTTTGAGCAATGGCCACCACAGAAAGACCCAGCACTGGGCTAGAGGGTCAGCTCTTCTGGCCGCCTCTGTCTGGGGAGGGGAGCAGACTGGAGGTGTCCCCTGCCCCAGACCAGTGATGGAGCCCATCAGGCCTATGAAGAGAAGCCTTCATGGACCTCTGGGCTGGGAGCGCAGGCGCGTGGGGCTGGGAAACGCACAGGCGAGCCGTGCGCCTGGCCCGCAGGGTGTGGCACGGGAGCTCAGCGCCCCACCAGCCCCAGATCTGACCACGTGCCTCTTCCACCCGGTGGGTCCTGAGTTTTATCCCCTGTGATGAGACTGTCCTTGTAATTATGAATTCCAGTGAGTTCTGGGGGGTTCCATCAGACCTGAACACGGTTGTTGGAATCCCCAAATTTGTATCACACTGGACAGAAGTGGGGGTAGCTCAGGGACCCCACCTGTGGCAGGCATCTGAGGGGCTGTGTGGCGGGGGCCTTGTCCTTTAACTTATAGGGTCTGTGGTGATTGTAGGTAGAATCCAAGTTGAGTTGTTGGACATCCAGGGCGATGAAGAACTGGTATTAGTGTGTATGTGTGTGTGTGTGTGCGTGTGCATGTGTGAATGAGTGTGAGTGTACGTGTGCAGTAAGTGAACTCTGGGTGTCCCTAGGGTCTCTCTGAGCCGGACACCAAAAGAGACAGAACAGGAGCCGGCCAGGCCCCTGCGAAGGCCAGCAAACAAACTTTGACCCTTGACCTTGAGCCGGTGGGAGCTAAGGCTGGCGCCTTCCTGAGCTGAAACCAAACCAGAGTTTCTGCCTTTCTGGGACTGTGCACCCCGTGAGTGTGTGCTGAGGTTCACGGTGGAGGGGGCCTCCTGCCCCACACAGGGGCAATTGGCAGCTCCCTGCCCTGCTGAGGAACGGCAGGACGCCAGCCAGTGCTTCTCAAACGGGTGGGCAGGACTGTCGGCAGGGATGCCGCTGATGATTGTGATTTCCAAAATAAAATAGGAATGTTAAGCAGAAGACCCTTGCTTATCATGAGGGTGGGCTTGAGTTAGGGGGGGAAGCCTGTCACCTGTTCACAATGCAGCACTTCATCTCTACGGAGGGGTCAAAGAACAGGGAGTCAGCTCTCCTCGGGGTGACTCATGACAAATCGTGGTGGCCAGCCTCCACGGGGACCTCGCCCCTGCACTCTGCAGTACACCCAGGACATAACTCATTCTCAACTTTTCCACGTTGCTCAGACATGGCCCCTGCTCTGCACCCTCAGGTTGTGCAGAGGGAGAGAAAGAAGACAGGGGGCCTGGGACAGGACGGGACAGCACAGGTCGCGAGCTCCTCCGACGGGAGGGCGCCATCTGCATTTCTTCTTAGCTCCCAGGCAGCCCCGAGCAGCTGGGCATCACCTTGTGACCCTGGTAACAGTGTGACCTCCCTGAGCCTCGGTGTTCTGATCTGTAAATGGGCATAACACCTGTGGCCACCCAGCAGAAAGAAAAATGAAACCAAGCCCTGCCTGCCGGAAACACTTGGGAACGGTGCCAAGAGCGCCCCCCCCACCCCACGCTCGAGGACACAAGCTCCACTAGCCCCCTCCACGCCTGCGTCCGCTCCTTCTGCTCCCCAGGCTCGGCTCCATCTACAACCAGCATGTGCTCATTGTGGGAAAAGAGTCAGGTTTCCTGGACGCAGTTGGGAAGACAAGACTCACAGATCTGGGGCAAGAGGTGGTCAAGCCACCGGTAGGAGCCACAGAGAAGGAGCAGGGGTGGGGGGAGCATCCCACTGTGACAGCAGCCATCACCCTGGCTCTGTGCCAGCGTGCCCTCTGGGTTCTCCCCTCGGCCCTTGGGGTGGGTCTGTGGCTCTGGATGGAAACCCAAGGTCATGCCGAGGGCAAGGGCAGAAGAGGACTCAGGCCCGGCATCCCCACCGCCGCGAGGCATCTCAGGTCTCTGCCACTGCGCCCGGATCTGCTCACTGAGGGACGGGGATGTCAGAAGAAGTGGAAAGTTCCCCAGCTGGACTCTGCAGGCCCAGTTCTGGGCGCCCATCACCCACCCTGCAGCACGGCCACAGAGCTCTTGCTCCGGCTGTCTCTTCTGCCCAGGCTGAGTCACAGCTCTTATCTGAAAACCATGATAAGGTGCTGATGGGGGCAGGGAGGCTGTGAGCCTGTGGGGAGGGAGGGAGTCTGCGTGTGGCCTGGCTGGAGGTGTCCTCTGAGGCTTCCTGCCCAGGTGCTGGGGGGCGAGGCCCAGGCTGTCAGATGTCCTCTGTGAGCAGAACCTGGGCACAGTGCACCCTAGCCAACGGGAACACGAGGGTCTGCTCTGTGCCCTCCAGGAAGGCATCCTGGCAGCACCTCGAAAACAGCATCACTGTGCAGCAGAGACTCTGAAGAACGTTCTAGATCATGCAGAAAACCTGGCACAGCTCAGCCAAAGTCAGTGCCATTCAAACCATGTTTGTGAGCTCCTTGCACCTCCGCCTCCCATCACAGGTGAGCTCCCACTACGCTGGAAGGAGAGGAGATGTCACCGTGGTGGCTGCAGGTGAGTGCACGGGGTGCTCAGGAGCTGGCTGGACACCCAGGGCTCTTCCTCCCACACCCGAAGCTTCCGCATGCAGATCCTCTGGCCCCCTTCACTGTTCTTCCTTCTGCCTGAAGCCAACTGTTTACAGATGCCCTTCACCGTGCACTCCAGCCCCGCCCCCCACCAGCAAGTTCCTTCCACTTCTTGGGGTCCAACTTTCCTCATTTGAACCCGGGCATAGGAGTACCCATCATCTGGGGTGAGAGGATCACTGATCATGTAGATAAAACTCGGGGCCATTGTTTGCACTCCCTAATACAACAGCTCGAGGATTACAGGCCGCGGCCAGTCACTGGGCTTCAGCCACGGGCTGAGAGTCTCAATGCGAGATCCCACTGGGTAAATCCAGGACAGCACCAGTGACATCACTGCTGCCCGTGAAGCTGGACCACAAGGAGAAAGGACAAAGGACTCAGATGTCAGTCACCTGGAGGGCAGACTGAAAACGGCCCCCAAGTCCAACTCACTGCTCCTTCAACAGGGAGAGAGCATTTTCCCAGCTGTGGGAGGGTGGCCTTGACCTGACCAGAGCACAGCAGAGGGAGCGGGTTCTGAGCCGGGCCTGGGGCACGCACTCCCATGCTCGGCCTTTTGGACCGTGGCTGTCATATGAAGAAGCCCGCGTTGTCCTGGGAAGACGGGCCGCCGGGCCAGCAGCCAGCAGCCACCACAAGACTCGACTCGTAAGCAAGGCCATCGGAGACCGTCTGGCCCCAGCGGACCTGACAGAGGACTGAGGATGCTCAGCTGATCCCAGGACACCAGAGGAACTCGGCCCACCCACACAACAGTGAGCAAGCAAAATGTGACGGTTTTAAGACCCTGCACGTTGCCACAGTGACGATCCTGCCACGGCATGTGGACACGGGGTGCAGCCTCTGGGGATCCCCTCCTTTCTTCCTCCTGCAAGGGGCTGCTGGGGAGACTCAGCTCAGTGTGGCCCAGCCCCTCCCTTTACAGCCAGAGGTGGAAAAAGACCTCCTCAGGTCCCAAGGCTTGTTAGTGGCAGCAGCAGGACAGGGTGGTGACACCATAGTACATCCCCCCACCCAACCAGCCCGCCAGTGTTCCGTGAGTGTGTCCTCCACGCCAGGCTCCAGGCTGAGCTGGACAGATGGCACCACTCCGGCCCAAGGCACAGATGGTCATGCCCACTGCAGGGTAGAGACAGGGACAGGGTGGGTGGCCATGGGGAAGGCCCCGAGTGTCAGGCCTTGGGGCCCTTTCTTGGAAGACTTCGGCCTGCTGGCTCTGGTGCTTCGTGGGCCACACCAAACTCAGTGCCCTTCAAGGCTGCTTCTTCCCCTGCAGGCTGGGATCATGTCAGATCCTCTCTGCGATAGTCACAGACTCTAATTCTGATCTGGGTCTATACGCTCTGACTCAGGCGGTACACCATATTGGGTGGCACTAATTATGGTTATACTGCTCACTCTTTTCCCCAGCCTGCCTCACAGTGAGGGGTGGCCAATAAGGCATACAGAAAAAAAAAGATGCACTCTAACAAAAAGAGTCTAGGAGAGGAAAATCATTTGCCTCTAACCTCCTGCATTTGAATGGTGAGATGCCTGGAGCTGTAGCTGCCGTTTTGCAACCATGAGGTAACAAATCTGCAGAC